ATCATCATCGTGATATAAGTGACTGAGGAAACAAAAATTTGGAAGCTGGCCTTTCCCGAGGGCGACTCCGAGAACTCTAGCGAGTCCGGCGGTGGAGAAGATTCCAAGGGTGAAGACACTTCTGCCGATAAGGATCGCGCCGCTTAGGTTTCGTGTTCTTCGTGATTCTTCGCTTTTGAGGCTGATCGGCCCTTATTAGGCACTCTTGATCGTGACCTATAGCCATTGGAAATAGGTTTATACAAAACTTTTATCCTTCCATGGCTCCGGAATCTGTTACCCCTTTTGTGCGGGTCAGAGTGTCTTAGCATAAAATTCCCTTTGAATGTCTACAGTTTTGAGATGGTAATGGCCAATAATAAGTATAGCCCTCGACCGTTTCTAATTAAGGGACCCCGAATGATCATTTGAACTTGAGTTTGAGTAGATCTTAGGCCAAACAGTTTTGGGCTTGATGGTTGAGTGAGTATATGCTCGGACTTGAAATGAAAAATAGCCCTCAGGCTTTATAGTCGAGTGAGGATTTGCTTGAACTCAAAGTAAAGCTAGCCCTTAGGCTTCATAGATAGTCCCCTAGTGAGTATTTTGTCGAACTCGGGTAGCCCTTGGGCCTAGTAGTCGAGTGAGCGTTTGCTCGAACTTGAAATAAAGTTATCCCTTAGGCTTCATAAATTATCTCTGAGTGAGAATTTTCTCAAACTCGGGTAGCCCTTGGGCTTAGTAATCGAGTGAGTGCTTGCTCGAACTCGAATTAAAGTTAGCCCTTAGGCTTTATAGATAGTCCTCGAGTGAGAATTTTCTCGAACTCGGGTAGCCCTTGGGCTTAGTAGTCGAGTGAGTGCTTGCTCGAACTCGAAATAAAGTTAGCCCTTAGGCTTTATAGATAGTCCCCGAGTGAGGATCTTGTCGAACTTAGGTAGCCCTTGAGCCTAGTAGTCGAGTGAGCATTTGCTCGAACTCGAAATAAAGTTAGCCCTTAGGCTTCATAAATAGTCCCTGAGTGAGTATTTTCTCGAACTCGGGTAGCCCTTGGGCTTAGTAATCGAGTGAGTGCTTGCTCGAACTCGAAATAAAGTTAGCCCTTAGGCTTTATAGATAGTCCCCGAGTGAGAATTTGCTCGAACTCGGGCTAAGGTAGCCCTTGGGCTTTTTTATATTGGCCCTTAGGCTCTTTGGATCGGCCCTTAGGCTCTTTGAGTAGCGCCAATTCGGCCTCTAATAACGGCTATAATTTTTCTCTCTTTTTGGCTAAAATACTTAGTGAAATTTTTTCTATGCCTTAGCATGTGTTTCTTGTACCTGTTGGGTTTTTCGAAGGTTCAACCGATCGGAACCTTATTTGTAATTCATTTGTGTAACGACAATCGAATACCTCTTAAGGCTTTTTCGAAGGCTGATGTTATCGAAGCCTTTAACTTATTCGAGGGTTGATTTTATCGAAGCCCTTTATCATTTGCTTTTGCCGAGGGTAGCCTGATTTAACCGGTTTTTTCAAAGTGTTTGAAGGCCTTTATTTTATGGCAGAATTCGGACGTCTCCGAGCCGCATTATTTTGGCCATAGCCTTTTTATATGACCGTAGTCTTTAGTATGGTTGTAGCCTTCGGGGTATGTCTCTTGGACTTGTTTCCCGATAATATTTCGAACTTGTTCCAAATGCTAGTACCCGAGTGTGATGGCCTTGGCCTGTATATTGGGGATGCCTCTTTGAGGTATTATTATTTCGAACTCAGGTAGCTCGAGTAAATAGTCCTCGAGTTTTCGAGACATGCTTGCACTTGGGTTAAGATAGCCATTAGGCTTTTATGATCGAGTGATGATTTGTTCGAACTCGAAGTAAAGTTAGCCTGTAGGCTTCATAGACGGTCTCCGAGTGAGAGTTTGCTCGAACTCGGGCTAAGGTAGCCCTTGGGCTTTTGTATTTGTCACGGATTTCGAATGTCTCTGATCCGCGTTAGTTTGGTCGTAGCCTCTTTAGTTCGGAACTTGCCCTTTGGGCTGATCTTCCATTTCACTTCGAGCTTGCCCGAAGTGTCAGTCCCCGGGTGGGGTGGTCGTGGCCCGTAAAATCGAGGATTGCCTTTAAGGTCTTATGGTCTCGAAATATTAGCAGTTTGATTCCATTCGCTTTTGGGACAGCAACCCTCAAGCATGGGTCAGTTGTTCGAATTTCCGCCGCGGTCGGCCCTTAAGCATGTTTACACAATAGATCAAGAGTATAAAATATGAAAATTTAATAAGGGCAGGGGATATCGACTAGGAAAAGTACTTCTCTTGATAGATGATTTTACATGCGTGCATGCTTGATGTCTAGGGCTTGAGTAACCTATACGGGCACGGTTCGGCTGACAGTTTGGCCCTTACAACACTTTCCTATCGAGACCCGTGTAGGGGACTTCAGATTCTGTTGAATTTCTTTTAGTTAGAACGAACAACGGTTGCCTCATTAAAAACCTCGCCGGAAAAACCTATTTGGGACAAAAATCGGTCTGAGGGAAAAAGAGTGCAACACGTACTTCAAGATCTAGAGCTTCGTACCAATCCTTATCGATAGCCTGCAAGTGTTAGTCGAAAAAATAGAAAAGATTGGACTGGAGTCTTACCTTTATTCGAACTTTGGATACTTAACGTGATCTTCATCGGCATCAAGCCCCCGTGAATTTTGACCTCGATAATTTCTCTTCTCATTTTGTGTGAAGCTTCGCCCGGAACCGCTGCCTCTATAGTCTCTTTTGTACAGTTGATATCGATCTCTATTCGACCCCAGCTCTCGATCGATATCCCCTTCGATCCTATCTATGGTCCTGCTAGGATAAACGGACCCCGAAAGGGTCCCTAGTTGATCGTCTTCGACCCTAATCTTCGACTGATACCGATTATGTACGTCGGCCCAAGTGACAGCCGGGTAATCGACTAAACTTTGCTTTAACTGCTGTGATACTATGGAACTCCGAGTGTTGAGACCTTGAGTGAAGGCTAGAATAGCCCAGTCATTGGTGACATGAGGCAAACCCATTCTCTCCGCCTGGAATCGAGATACAAATACCCTGAGTATCTCGTTATTTTTCTACCTTATCTTGAAAAGGTCCGACTTTCTTGTTGCAATTTTAATGGCTCCAGCGTGTGCCTTTACAAAAGAATCTGCAAGCAAAGCAAACGAATCAATAGAATTAGGGGGTAAGTTATGATACCATATTAAGGCACCCTTCGATAGAGTCTCCCCGAACCTTTTCAGCAGTACGGACTTGATTACGTCGTCTTCCAAGTCATTTCCCTTTATGGCGCATATGTAAGAAGTAACGTGTTCATTTGGATCAGAGGTTCCATTGTATTTAGGTATGTCGGGCATACAAAACTTCTTTGGGATGGGTTTCGGAGCCGCACCCGGAGGGAACGACCTTTGTACGAATTTCTTGGCATCCAATCCCTTCGAGATCGGGGGAGCTCCCGGTATCTGATCGCATGGGAGTTATAAGTCTCTACTTTTTTGTCATTATCCTCAATCCTCTTTTCCCCGGACTCTATCCTCTTGGTGAGCTCTTTGAGCATTCTCATAATAGTGGGTCAGTCCCCGAGCCATTTTCGTTCTACCTCTCTAGCGCCGGTTCAGCACGTCGAGTGTATTCCGGTTTAGTTATACTCTGGGTTGTTCTGGCTCTGAAATTGAGCGATGGCGATTTGCTGGGCTTGCAGCATCTCGAATATCACTTGGAGGATGACTCCCCCATCTCCTGTTCCTGGTGTTCCTTGCCCCCCCCGGTTGGGCTTCCCTGCGTACGCTCCCTTCGGGGTCTGCGCCTAAGTTGGTGTTTATAGCAATGTGTGGACTAACATCAACTGGTTCCATGTTGGCGCTTCCCCAGGGTTTGTCGGTGGTACACCGACCCCTACATTGTTGTTTTCACCAAGACCTTCGTTGTTATGAACATGTACCTTTTGTGAGCTAGACATGTTTCAGCCTGAGAATCAAAAAAATTCTTGACAAGAAAAAGCGTAAAAATAACGTGTGTAATGAGAATCAGTTAAGAACAATCACTATTATCTTTAGCCACACGGTGGGCGCCAAACTGTTTACCTCGAAAATACGAGTAACAATTAAATTTGATTTGTGGTTTTAAAGATATGTGATTTAGTTCAATACCAATTAATAATCAAGAAAAAAGAAGTAAAGATAAAAGAGATTAGTGAATCAAACCAACGTAACTCAACAGTAGCGACCTCGAGACGGTGACCTCGAGACATGCTAATAGTAATAGAATAAGATAAGTCAAGTAAGAATAGTAGAGCTAAAGGGCAATGCTGATGAATAGTAGGCAAAAAGTAGAGAGTATATTCTTTTCTCAGTGATAAAATGATGTTACAAATGATTGGGGTCCCCTTTATATAATCGGGGAACCCTAAATAAGGTATATTTCTATTTACAGTAAGGAATATTCTTGATACAACGTCTAACCGCCTAGTACTGAATCGTACAATCATATTCCGGGATTTACGCCATGATTTTGGGACGTGGCAGGAATCTAGCCCATTCTGTTACAAATCAATAACGGTACTATTATGGGGTCGAGCGCACTCGGCCTCGGTGTACATCATGCTTCAATCTTCGGGCATTGCACTCTGTCCTCGAGCTCGGATCTGGTCCTTCGAGCTCGAACTCGACCTTGCCTGAACTTCGGCTCATAGATCGGAGGCATACGATTTCGACTGTTTACAGACATATACATGTATAAATGGAATTTATGCCGAACTTTATGGGTGTGGGTGACCCCTCTCGATATAGCATAGGTCCGCCTTTGACACAAAGTATTTCGCGTTCACGCATGGTAGGTACTCCCGGGAGTGTGATGTAGACAATCTAGCATAATACTACCATTAGTGATTGCTTCTACCGCTCGAAGCCGCGATGTATACTATATTAAATAAATAAATAAATAAGCAAAAAAAATAAAATACCTGAGGGTGCAAAATAGTAGAATCCATTTCATTTGCAATTGTAAGTTACAACGTAAGGGGCCCAATCACGTGACTGCCCTACCTAACGGACTCGTCAATCCTAACATCTGTAACGGTTCCATCTTCTCAAATGCAGTGCATTAACGGCGAAAACCCACAAGCGTTACCTTTCACGTCGTTCCATACCCTAACTAACGTCCACCCATGGCTTCTTGTGACGACGATTTCTCACTCCTCGGTGACGATAACGCCACCGTCACCGTCACTCCTACCACCACCACGGCCCACACTTCCAATCCTACTTACCACCACCACCATCAACCTTTCTCCCACCGTTACAAGCCGGCGCAAATCCACGCCCCGCCTATCTCTAGCGGTAGTCCGAAAAACATCTCCGGCGATGAAGATGGTGACGGATACAGCGACAATAACAACACGCCGTCGTATCATATCGGAGTGAATCCGTACGATACCGATTCAAATCCGTTCGAAAACGACGGTGACGTTAACAGATCGAGGCTCAATCAATCAAACGACAACAAACGAACGGATCGAGAGGATATCAGCGATAACGGAACGCCGTACAATTACAAAAGATCAAAAATCACCTGCTCCTCCGCCGCCTCCGGCGGCAGCGGAGAGTACCGGAAGGACAGAGAAGAATGGAGCGATACGGCAATAGCATGTTTATTAGAGGCGTACATGGAGAAGTTTGTGCAATTGAATCGAGGAAATTTGAGAGGTAGAGATTGGGAAGAAGTGGCGGCGATGGTGAGCGAAAGGTGTGAGAAGCAATCGAAGAGTGTGGAACAGTGTAAGAATAAAGTTGATAATTTGAAGAAGAGGTATAAATTGGAAAGACATCGGATGAGTAACGGCGGAATCACGATGAGTCATTGGCCCTGGTTCAAGCAAATGGAGCAAATTGTTGGAAATTCAGTATCAGGAAAAGCTACATCTACATCTGAAGAGGACAAAGCCATTGTTGCAGTTACCAACTCTGGCACTAGCAGACAATCTAAACGGTAATACCTTTTCTAAGGCGGATTCAGGATTTTAACTTGAGGGTTCAACTCTTAGCACTAAACTCACTGTACTTCTTAAATTATGGGTTCAGAATCTAATAGTGTTTCAATTCTTTTGTTTTCCACACACACACACACACACACACACACACACACACACACATATATCTCTACATCCCCCACTGCTTTTTTATTTGGTAGTTCTAATTGTATAAAAATTTGATTCTTTTTCTTGCATAGGATGAAAGTTTTTTGAAATATTGAGCAGAATGGATATAGATGATTCATATAACGGACCCTAACGGGTTGGGATTGAGGTGCAGTCGATTGGCAAAGGACATCCCGGTGCACTAAGCTCCCGCTATGCGCGGGGTCCAGGAAATGGCCGGACCACAAGGGTCTATCGTACGCAGTCTTACCCTGCATTTCTGCAGGAGGCTATTTCCGCTACTCGAACCCGTGACATGACAACAACTTTTCCAATTACGCCTAGGCTCCCCTTGTGTAGTTGATTGATTTGATAATATCCCTTCAGAATATTGAGAGTTGATGTATAACAAGGTTGATCTGCCATTGCTGATATGAAAAAGAGAGGCTATTTTTGTACTGCAATAGTGCAACGATGTGCTGGGAAAAAGTTGACTCTTTGTATATGGTGAATGAATTGACTTTTTCTTTATGATACATAGGAAACTGTTTATCAAAGTCGTAATCTTCCTCAGCTTGGAGTGAGCTGTACCATTTTTAAGTCTGTGTGTGACTCATATTATTTAGATGTGATGTTCTAATTGATTGGGAAGCTTGAAATTTTCAATTGTTTTATAAAATATGTTTTTACTTTTCAAGTTTTCCATGATACAAAAATAAACAGTTTAGATGTATATGAGTTTGATCAAAACAAAATCTGTAGTTCCTTGTCCTTACTTTCTTTGATGTAGCTGCTATTTGCTAACCTGAGTTCTCATCTAGTGGGAATCTGCATATAAAATACTTGAGTACAGTTTTCTTCTTTTTCTTCCAGTTTCGCGGATTATCTGACATTTCTGTTCCTCCTAACCTGCTTCAGATATGGAACAGCAGTGCCTGGTCCCAGTGGACAGATTGTAAAGTCAAAATCTTCTATGGGTCCAAGGTGGAGAAGGGTAGTTCTTAAAATTAGTGGTGCTGCACTAGCTGGAGTCACACCAAACACTAATGATCCAAACAACCTTGATCCAAAGGTTTATTTACTTCCAATGTTCTCTCTATATTTTGAAGCAATAATGGTTTAATCTTGGAAGAGATGAATTGGGTTTGAAAATTTTAATGATAGTTTGAAGCAAGACTGGTTTGATCTTGGAAGAGATAAATTGGGTTTGAAAAATTTAATGATAGTTTGGAGAGGAAGCCTATGTGATTATATTTCATTCTGAGTGTACCAAACAAACTCATTCAAGATATTACATAATGCTTTTATTTTTTACATGCAACTTTAGATGACAGATCAGTGGATCTCTTGATGGAGACGTACCTATTGCAAAATTGGAGGATTAATTTATATTCGCAAAATGAATGTAGTACAATGTATTTAGGTCAAGAAGCTAAATGTATCTTTCCGGCACTTCAAAATGATGGTAATGTTGAGGAAGGTTTTTTCTTACAGTTTGGCTATTAGTTAACGTGGCACTTAACAGTCTAGAGCCTGAACCTTTCCTGTAACAACTACTACTATTCAATCCTAATTCCTAAGCAAGTGGGGGTGGCTATCTGAACCCTCATTATTCATGTCACTCCATTTGAGTCGAGTAAAATATTTTAAACATTTAGTTTCTCTAGCACTAGAAGTTTTCTGTATTTTCTACCAGCATATAACTCTCTGACAGGACTAAAAGATTCCTATCAAACATTGGACCTAAAGTAAATGTACTAACTTGACTAAAACTTAATCCCAACAAATTTGTATTGCATATCTAGATCTTTTTTTCTTTAGAAGTGTGCCCTGTTTTTCGCCTTTGCCTAAGATATTTTACCAGTTGAATTCAAGCTGCTGTGGAAGTAGGTTCGTCTAAAACAGCTATCAATCTTATCTTAGATAGTTCTTTTAATTTTGGGTTGACTAGAAACTTTAGATTTTCTCATAGGAGGGGTATTGCTTTCTTATTACCTTATCCTGAAAAAAGGGTTATTACTCTCTTACTCTGTATTCAATGAAGAAATCTTGTTATGACCACTTGGGTGAGTTTCCCAGCTGTATGACCTTTTAAGGAAGTGGATTTATCACAAAACATAATGTCAATATTACCAACAAGATCAATGCGTAAAACTTTTTCAGTTCGTGTTAGAAAAGTCAATTCTGTAAGCAAGAAGTTCTCATATTAATTGCTGCTACATTTTGGATTCTGTTTCCTAATTAACTGAGATGTCGTATTCTGTCTTGTATCTGTAAAGGAGTTAAGTGTTCTTTTCTTTATTATAAGTGCTGATAATAAAGTTTTTATCATTGAAATATGCCAGGTGGCCATGCTAGTTGCTAGGGAAGTCTCAATAGCTTGCCGTCTTGGTATAGAGGTATCTGTCAGAAAAGCTTCTGATTTTTTGCCAAGGAGTAGCACTTTTGCCGTATTTTGATTCCCTTGGACATGCATGTTAATTGTTGCCTTAGGTGGCAATAGTTGTTGGCGGACGCAATTTCTTTTGCGGAGACACATGGGTAACTTCAACTGGATTGGATAGATGTACTGCCTATCAAATTGGGTAATTTCCTCCTGTCTAATTTGTGATTTACGGTTCAGTTATTAACTATAAATAGCCCCTGTAAATGATGGAATTTCCCTGGTAGATTTCATTAATTCTCTTACTTTAGTTTAACAATCAAGTTGTTTGATCTTTGGATTTAGCTCCCTGCTGCAATTGTTTTTTTTGTACTCAGGAGCTAGTCCAAATTTTTTTGTAATTTCTGCATCAATATAACACCTTCATCAAAAAAAAATAAAAAAATATAAGTAATACTATTATTCATTTGGTTAATTTCCTATAAGAGGCGGAAAGATAAAATCACACCTCATGGAACGGGTGATCTTGATAGTCCAGTGAATTTTTCTACTTTCTATATCCTGCTTGTAGTTTTGTTTCTATGCTATTCATATGTATAGAATCTCTCTATTTTGGTTGAATGCCTCTGTGAGCTTTTTATTATTAAGATATCTGAAGATTCCTTCATCCCTTAGTCTTAGTGCATGTTGATATTGGAATGACGGAATAGTTGAAAGTGCATGAAAAAAGAAAGAAAAAGAAAACAGAATCTGGAGAGTCAGATCTATGATGTGATTTGTAGTATAAATTATAGGGGGTTGAACTTTTTACAGCTGTGGAATAGGTCTTTTGATGTGTTTTATTTTGTTAAAAATAAAACTTTGGTGTACATGCTTCTACAACATGGGCGTTACTTGATTGCCTTGGTTATGCGATTTCGGGCTTCTAATTTATGAAGTGGAAATATTATTTGGCTAATGTTACTAGCTCAACTTGAGTAAATGACAAAAAGTTCAATTTGAATATGACTAATGGAAGAAACAAGGCTACTTTGCGATAAAGAAAATGAAGCTGGATTAAATAATGATCCCGCCCCTAAATTTGATTTAAAATGTCTACTAGATTTTCCAATCTCCATCTGCTTTGTCTGTCTGCCGCTCCTCGACCCTCGTAGCATGCTGCCCCCCCTCAAGATACTTGCTAGTTCCTGTTGCAGCCTCACCTTTATGGCTCTATCCCCTGCAAATGACTGCTAACCCATTGGTTGCTTGGGATGGGGGAATGGTGGTTTGCAGGACATGGTGGCAAGTTGCAGGGGGAGGGGAGGATTATCGGAGTTTGTAGGTGGATGGGAATGTGGTTGTGAGTAAAGTTTAACAGGAGTTTGGGGGAGGGGAAATGAAGAAGGTAGGAGGAGCTTGAGTTGCAGTCAAGTTCTTTATCATTTTGATTGGATTATTGGAAGCATAAGCTAGGTTGTGTTGACAGGAAAGTTGGTCTAGTCCACTGAATGAAGGTAGGAGGAGCTTGAGTTGCAGTCAAGTTCTTTATCATTTTGATTGGATTATTGGAAGCATAAGCTAGGTTGTGTTGACAGGAAAGTTGGTCTAGTCCACTGAATGTGAGAAAGTTTGCTCTCACTTTCCAGGTAGTAATGGTATTTCCCGTTCGTTCTGTAATGAACTAATTGTACCTGTGACTAATCTTCTGCAGAATGATGGCAACTATGATGAACTCGATACTGCTGCAGTCGGCATTAGAGAAGTTGGGTGTGCAGACTCGTGTGCAAAGTGCATTTTCCATGCCTGAGCTTGCCGAGCCATACAGTAGGCAACGGGCTATGCGGCATCTTGAAAAAGGTAGAGTTGTGATCTTCGGTGGTATTGGAGCTGGCACAGGGAATCCACTCTTCTCTACTGATACAGCTGCAGCACTCAGAGCTTCTGAAAGTATGAAATGTTAACACTCAAAATTTCTGTTTTTACTATTTAGGAGTGGTTAATGATTCAAAGTTTTCCTTTCTCCAGTTCATGCCGATGCACTACTCAAGGGTACAAATGTAGAAGGTGTCGATGTTTGTGACTCCCGAAATAGTAATGTTGCTGCTGAGCATATTTCCTTTAGGGAGCTGGTTTCCGGAGGTGCTTCCCCATTGGATTTGATGGCTGTTACATTATGCGAGGAGAATGCAATTCCTGGTATGGCTCTATCATCACCAGCATTATCCTATAGAATATTTGCCCCTATATCATTCTTTCATCAGCTACGTTACTTCATGGAAATGTGTTTAGTTCCAATCTGAAGATTACTAGTTCTTGACATGCTTCGTTCTTCTTGCAGTTGTTATTTTCAATCTTCATGGGCCTGGAAATATATCAAGAGCGTTATGTGGAGAGCAGGTGGGTACACTGATTGATCAGACAGGAAGGGTTAGCTAACATTTTCTTGATATATGTATGGCATTTTCCTTCATCTTACGTGGAACTCTGAGGTTAATTTATAAAAGAAAGAGATTCAGAGGGAGCAGCATTGAGGCTGCCATGGCCATGGAGTTTCCTAGTGGAACGCCCTGATTTATACTCGAGAGGCAACAAGTTGAGAGAAGTGCAGCTTGCCTTGTATAACATGGGAAGACGATAATTTGATCTTACTTAAAACAGATTATTACACAGATTAAGATATATCCTACTTCATGGAATCGATGAGTTATCTGTTGTAGCGTAGATCTATAGGATGGATTAAACATGTGTAGTGAGATAAGTTATTGTTGTAGAAGGCAGGAAAGCAACAGGAAGTTGTTGTTTGGGAGATTGGGAGAGGCCAAACTCATTATAAATTGGCATTTCCATGCCTTACTCAGATCCTATTTTTGCTGTCTTAGAACTAAAAATGACTTTGCATGCGTAGAGGTTAGTAGTATAGTCACTCTTAAATAGACACACTAATATTAATATACTATTATGGGGGTCTATGAACATATGCAAGTCAAGCACTTCTCATTTGAGTGTTTCGTTTTTCTTTTTATGGAGTATTTGGAGTGGAAAATTGAACTTCCACTTTAAAGAAGTGGAAAGTGGAAGAGTGCAATAGTTGATGTGTCAGGCGCACATCAGGGATTTAAATCCAGAGACACGAGCCTGGCATTTAACTGAAGACAGATAAAGCAGCAGACTCATTATCCGTGGAATCGAGCCTGGCATTTAACTCAAGACGGATAAAGCGGCAGACTCATTATCCATCGAATTTCTAATCGTGCAGTGAAGAAGGATAAAGTGGCAGGCTCATTATGCATCGAATTTTTAATCCTACGCCAAGTTCTAACTTGCTAGGATACAATACCTTGTGTTGGTTCCCCTGTTTGGATTTTATAGATGCTTGTTTGGATAATAAAAAGGTTATTATGCTGGTAATATATATGGAATTATTTTACTTGCTTGCTTAATTAATGCTAGTGAAAAAAGAGGGGAAATAAATTGAACACGAAGCTCATTTAAAAGAAATGAGTAAAGGTACTATCCTACTATGGAAATATCCGAAGGACCGAAGCTTTTCTATTTAGGGAACTTTGTAGAATTCTACTTCTTGACGAGGCCATAATAGAAAGAGCATTACATACTGTCATAAGTTCTTATAACATATACAGAGTGGTTTGTTTTTGTGTCTTACACAACTTACATTAGTTGTGTGAGGCCTCTTTTTATCTTACATATTTGTGGACCCATATCTTACACATCTGGGTCCACAAAATTCTGGGACCACACAGTTGTGAGACAAAAAAGAGGCTTCATACAACTAGTGTCAGTTGTGTGAGACACAAAATAAAAATTTTCACATATATATCATCCGTTTCAAAAAGATTGTCTTAGTTTGACTTTGCATAAACTTTAATAAAGAAGATAGACTTTTGAGATATGTGGTCTTAAATAAGTCATAGTATAGTAAAACTTTTGAAACTTGTGATCTGAAACCTACCATAGCATTTGTGTGCTTTTTGTTAAGGAAATATTGAAAGATGCCAATCTTTTAAAACAGAATAAAGGGCAGCCCGGTGCACTAAGCTTCCGCTATGCGCGGGATCCGAGGAAGGGCCGGACCACAAGGGTCTATTGTACGCAGCCTTACCCTGCATTTCTGCAAGGGGCTATTTCCACGGCTCGAAGTCACAAGGCAACAACTTTACCAGTTACGCTAAGGCTTCCCTTCCATCTTTTTGAAATAAAATAACAAAAAGTAGTACAAATCTTTTTAAAACAGGGGAAGTAGAGGTCTTTCTCTCGGATTATATCTCTTATTTTGTACTATACCAAATCACAAACTAAGGCCATGTATTGTTTAACTGATTCAATCTCTAGTCCACACAAGGAAAACAAAACGTCACTATCATCAATCCACTCCATCAATTTTTGTATGACAATCATTTAGAAAATTTGAAGGGGAGACTTGGAGATTAAGTTGTTTTCGGTTAGACCTAAGCGGATTTAGGGGTTCGAAAGGGCCATTGTAATGTGAACCTCCTTCGCCAAAAATTAACTGTACGTGTATAAGGCAAAATTTGATTTGTACTTCTGTATATTATATTTTGATTTCCCTTGATATAGCTCAATGGTCAAGGGGGTTCAACACCTTTTTAGGTTACTAGTTCAATTCCCACTAGCCATAATCTCTTTTAGTTTTTTATTTTTTTTCATTTTTGAATCCCGTTAGCGAAAATTCTGCTTCCGTCACTGTGACTTATAAGTTACTGTTAAGATTAATTATGTATATTGATCAGTTAGTTAGGAGTTAGTGGAGTCATTAGTTAGTTAGAGCTGACAGCTGTACCAATCAACTCACTTGTTAGAAAGTTAGTTAGCCGACCTAGTTAGTTAATTAGCTCTTAGCTGTTCAATTGTATATAGTGGATGTTCCACTCATTTTCTTCTTAATTCAATTGAGAAATTCTGGAAAGTTCTCTCATCTCTTTCTCTTCTCTTACTGTGGCCCTTTCATGGCGTGAAGGTCACGACCATCTCACCATTGAAGCTCACCATCGAAGCTCAGCAAAGCTTCGAATTACTGTTCCATTGATTAGTTCTAATATGGTATCAGAGCTAGGAGCATCAATTTCGGACTCGCCTCACAGAATCTACTAGTTCTACTTCCGTCAGTGATGATTCGAACTAGATCGCACACATGCAAACTCATTTCTCCATTGATTTCGAGCTGTAGTCATGAGGACAGGTTATGAGTTCCTTCTGTATCTGTAATTGTTTGAGAATTGTTACTAAATTCATAATCACTACTTTTCTAGCCCTCAGTTGCTTAGAAATTCTGTATTGTACGAAATGAATACTGTCGAAGATGATAATCAATCAACACTGACTATGACTGAGTCTCCTAATCAGTCAAGTGTTGATATCAGTAGCCCTTTGTATATGCATCCATCTGACAATCTTGGAACAACTTTGGTTCTTGTTCCATTTGATGGCTTTGGATATCGATCGTGGAGAAGAGGTGTGATGCAAGCATTATCTGTGAAGAATAAGTTGGGATTTATCAATGGAGAATGCAAGAGACCAGATCCAGATTCATCAAAATTCCGCCTATGGGAAAGGTGTGATGATATGGTCACTTCATGGATCCTAAACTCCTTGGCCAAGGAAATTGCAGACAGTGTTGAATATGTAGCAGATGCATTCGAATTGTGGAGAGAACTTGAGGATCGGTATGACCAAACAAATGGAACAAAGCTGTACCAAATTCAGAAAGAAATCAATGATCTATCTCAAGAAGCCCTTGATATCACCAGCTATTACACAAAAATGAAAAAGTTATGGGAGGAACTCAATACCTTGATCCAAATCTCATTGCTCTTGCAATTGCTCGTGTGGAGCTAAGGAGAGCATGCATAAGGCTGAGCAGGATAGGAGGCTGATACAATTCCTTATGGGATTGAATGAGACATACACTGTAGTTCGAGGCAGTATATTGATGATGAATCCTCTTCCTTCAATAGCCCAAGCATTTTCTTTGTTGATCCAAGAGGAAAGGAGGAGAGAAATCAAACCAAGTGGCCACTTAACTCTGGAGTCATCAGCCTTGAATACTAGCACAATTAGACCTGGGACATTCAGAACAAACTATTCTCCCAGCAACAATCATAACAACAGGACTAGGCCCTTCTGTGATTATTGTAAGAGACCAGGTCACACTAAAGAGAAATGTTACAAGCTTCATGGATACCCACAGAGCTTTCGTCAGAATCAGAATCCAAACATAAATCAAAGCAGTTTCAATTAAAATGAACTTCAACTATAACTACTGTCACACCTCCTTTTTCACTACACCCGCAAGGGCGTAAAGGAGTTTTTCCAATTGAAAGACAATTGAAACGGGATTTATTTATTAAGATTCAGAGTCGCCACTTGGGAGATTTATGGTGTCCCAAGTCACCGGTTGAATCCCGAATCGAGGAAATTATTGACTCTGTTTAACAGTCCGCGATCCAGAAATCCGAGTAAGGAATTCTGTTAACCCGGGAGAAGGTGTTAGGCATTCCCGGGTTTCGTGGTTCTAGCACGGTCGCTCAACTGTCATATTTGGCTTATTTATCTGATTCCAGAACATGTTTTAGCTTATGTGCTTTTTAACCGTAAACCGCTTTATTATTATTATTATTTTTTAGAGAATTGCAACGTCGTGAAAACACGTCTCGAACCACGTCACATAAATGCACCCGCGGTTTTTGACACATTTCAACTTCGTTGAGATTTGGATTTGGGTCACATAAATGTGCACCCGTATTTAGGAAGGTAATGTTATTAAAATACGTGCCTAAAGAGACTAACGCGTTATTATCTTTGGAGAGGGCCGTGAAATTCACTAAACGGCCCATCCCGAATTCTAAGTATTTTAACATAAAATTTAAAAAGGGCCCCGCAATTTTTGCATTTTTATTTGGCGAGGCTCATCTCATTTTTTATTTAAAGGTCCAATCTAAAGTAAACTATGATTTCTATTTAATTTGTCTCTAATAATAAAGAGAAGTCCTAACTAATTAATATTATTAGGAACCATTATATTCTTACCAGTTCGGGCCTATTATACAAATAAAGAGCAAGCCAATTGTAAGCCCGGGCCCAGGTCCAAACGCACACATAATTGAGATAGAACCTGGGCCATCTGCTAAAGTCCTAAGGCTCTAACTATTTGAAATGGGTTGTTTAGCCCTGCCTGTTAAAATCAAATCCCAGCCCGTTTCTGATTGAATAAAAATTCATTAAGACTGCTCCTCGTTGTTCAAAAGGTGTTCAATAATTTATAATCAAGGAAAAAGCAATATTCACCTATTCGAATTAATGAAACATTGATCACTAAAATTAAAACTCAGATTATTTTACTTATTTAGCTACTGATGATTTCATGGATATCACTATAAGTGTAAAGCAGGCTGGAAATACAAATGTGACAACACAAAGCAAACCTAATTATTTTTGAATTAACTCAGCTAGCATTGCCAAATAAGCATCATACAATCATTTATCATGATAATCACATTCACACTATGAAAACAATACTAATTATGTGTTCTACGATATCACACAGATCTGAGGCGATCCACAACTCATTTATCAACCTCACATGAGATCAATTGTCACCAATGTTCAACTTAAAGCGACCACATGCAGATGATAGAGTCCATGCGAATCAAAACAGTCTTAACAGTCTAAAACAGTCCCAATTAAGCAGGTATAATACAAACACACTAACTAAAGCTATATAACTATACATCATTTGCTAGCCTACAACTATAAACATCCAAGCAAGCATAGATCTGGAAAGATGATTTCATTTTATTCCAATTCGAGGCTACATCAGTG